CCGAGCGTCGATCGGCCCCGAGCGTCAATCGCATCGGCTCTGTTCGAACGGACCCCATCAACGGACAACCTGCCCTGGGCCCCAAACGGTGGTCACTCTCCGGAGATCATGGGACGATCGGCATAGCTACGGTCGCATCCGAGGTAGACGATAAATGTGGAACGAACACACCACAAAGCTAGACTACAACGGTTCAGTCAGGGAGACCCGGCTTTATCTTCGTATGCACTATGATGCACTGAACATGCAGCGTGTTTAGCCCCCCACCCAACCGCTTCTTAACACAAATGCACACAACATGAACATCACTAGCCCCCCACCGAACCCCCCCGAACCCCCCCTGCCCCCATCTTCCATATTCCAATGCGTGTGTTTGTGTGTGTTCTTGCCCCCCAAAAGGACTGTATGAAAAATCAGCTTCACTACACGCGCGGTTTTAAGCCCATTAGCATAAACATGTACATGATAATATCTGGGCAACATGTACATACCACGTACAAACATAAGACTATCATACGTATAATATACATACATAACTTGTATACATAAATTAGTGTATAAGACCCAAATTGGAACACACATTTTGAAGGATATGCTCATATATATATGAAAAGGCCTCTGAGTGGAGGAAAGGACGAAAAGCAAAAGCCAGTGCAAAAGCCTGCTGGACAAGAGTCTCATCAAAGGCTCGTCAAGACTCAAAGGCCGTTCACTGGTTGCAGGATACAACTCCCAAAGACAATCTGGAATCCGGACCATTTGGGTCAAGGTGTTGCCCACACGACCAAGAACAACCACTCGGAACGGAACGTCACGACCATTCATGACCCCCCGTTGATCACCTGAACTCTGCAACCAAAAACCTCGAAGCGGAGCTATCAGATATCAACTTGGTCCCTCGAAGGACCAATGACACCGATCAGCAAGTGGACCCCGAAACGCGGAATGCCCCATACCCATACACTCCATGGGACTGCCATATATGCCTACATTGACACTCCAAACCACCCCAACTGACCGGCATATATGGCAGTCCCATGGAGTCTATGGGATATAGACGGCCCCCCAAACTTTAACGGATCGCAATACCCCCAAGGAGTTGGAGAAACCATTTCGCCGCGGAACGGACGGATCGCGACGCAGAGCTCGCAGATCGGTGCGGAGAAAACGAGCGTCGGAACGGATGGAGAAAACGAGCTCCCAGCGTTCGTATACATGTTCTGGCTCGGACTCCTGACGCATGGTGCAGATCCTGCAAAAGAAGGCGGTCAACGATGACCGTCGTCAAAAAGGGCCAGTCCTGCCGTTTCTCGCTTAATTTGCGAAGGAGAGAAGATTTCAGTGAAGACGGTTTTCCAGCGTGTCGAAGCATCAGTAGAAGATCCCATTGAATGGTGATGAGGTCCTGCCTTAACCTAGGGAATAGCGCGATAGGTTCAGCAGTGAAAACCATGCTGTGGGACCGCTGATGGGGGCTGGAGCCAATGAAGGCCCAAAAAATCTATCTGAAGTCTATCAGCTATGGCTATGCGGCTATGAGTCGGAGTCCCTTTGCAGCTTTCTGGGAGTCAACATGCCTTGACAAACAGACTAGCCAATTCGCAGGGGGACTTCCCATCAACAAGAAGGCCCTTCAGGAGGCGTTTCGGCCCATCAACCAGAAGGCCCAACGAGACGACATGGACCTTCTTCTGACGTCAGTGGATCGCTTGGACCTTACATCAGTGACCTGCTAGACCTGAGACGTGCTAGACCTTGAGATCTACCATGATCTACCAATCTACTCTAGACTCTAGACCAGACCTGAAATACCAATCTACTCTAGACCAGTGACCATAGATCAATTGAGAAGCCCACGGACTCCATGGGACTGCCATTAGGCCAGGGGTGGTGTTTGAGGGGTCAATGGGGCGGCAGTCATATAGGCAGTCCCATGGGAGTGTATGGGATGTGGGGCATGAAGCTCCAGAATGCTCCCAGAACAACGAACCGCCTGCGTAGGTAAGCCGTCGCGTTTTCTGTCGGCCCAGTAGGAAGGCCGCGGCCTTCCTGGACCGTGGTTTTCTCTCCTGTCGTTGTGTGTATCCGAAGCTAGGACATCTCTACAACTTGATCGAATATTCTATGTTTTTCTTAATATATATAGAGATTTCACTGACTCACACACCTCAACACAAAAGTCGATGGCAGAACATTCCTCGGTGGATCAAACATTGTCCTGATTGGGATGGGTGAGTATGGAGTGACTTGGAGAGTCCGGTCCAGATGCCGGAGGGATGAATCTGAGATCTGGGAACCATTGGGAACACAGCATTTGGACAGCGCACAGCACGGGGCAGGCAAATAGTTCAATCCATTGCTGCACCTGAACTTGGGGTCGCAAACCAACATCATGCTGATCAAAAGCTGGTAAGACGGCGGAGGACACGCAAAAAAGAGCTCCAGCTCAGGTTCATTGGTCTCTAGATATAGAGAGAGAGAGAGAGAAAATATATGTATGATATATTACTGTATATGTAAAACACATTCCCATGGCTATCATTCGCATGACTTTATAACTATATGTCTAAAAGAAAAAACTATGCATATGTTGTTTGTATTATCATGCCATAATGCCATATGTTTGGCCTTCTGGGCATACCACGAGGTCCCACCTCTCCCGGCCTCAGCTGATCCGCGCTCGGATCCCAGGAGGATCCCGCCGAGCTGGTGAACCAGTTCCATGCACCGCGGCGTCCGTTCAGCCCGTGGTGGTCGGGCGGTCGGTGGGGTGGTGGGGGTCGAGGGGGATGGACTCCGGGTGGACTGAAGATGTTGGTGTTTCTTTTTGCGTAGATGTATGCACATGTGGACAGACAATTGTGTCCAAGGTGGCGATGAATATACTACAGAAGTGTAATTATTTATATATATATATATACTTGTGCCGATGATCAAGATACTGCAGTAGAAATGTATTTACGCCACTTGGGGATGGACGACATGCACCCAGCTGTGAAGCGAAAAAACCTGGCGACTCATCCAAATCACTTGGTTTCGGAGAACGCCTCGATTGGATCGACCATGATGGACCTTCCCACTCACAGAGACATCTCCAAAAGCATCGTTGAAAGGAGCCATTCATTGAATGCTGCCGCAGGCTAGAGCCGCTCCTCCTTGCTCACAGGTGACCAAAACGGGTTCCATCGCCTGAACCCTTCACCTTCAGGCACGAGATATGACCTTCGAGACCAAACAGCACCAGGGCGTATGCTGCTGAAGCGTGCCTCCCGCCGTGCAAAGAAGGGGAGGGGACGCGAGATGGACGAAACAAGGGCGGATCAGCTGGACGAAGCTTCCGCATCACGTGGGGACACCATGAGAACATCGGGGGCCTGTACCTCATCCGTGACACAAAAGAGGTAAAGATGCGATGTTTCTCCATGAGTCATGAAAAGTCTTGCTGAACAACAGAAGTCAGCTTATGTTTTTATCTTTTGACTTAGCCTCGACCACGACCTGTTGGCCCATTTAATGGGGTCATTGAGTCATGGAGCTTGTCAAGCTGTCATCAAGACACTACTTTTGCCGTCCTTGGGGAACCTTTGCGGTATATGGTTTTAGCAGGTTTGCAGTTGAATATGAAGGATTGTGAATCGAATTCAATCGCCAGACGTATGTTCGCAAGATGTACAATCAATCATGCTGCCGCGTATCCTCTGACCCCCAAAGATTCCAGCTCATCCTACTTGTAAAGTCTTGTAACAGAATTTGGGCGATGGTCACTCCGCCCTTTTCACCGGGACACTAAGCAAATCCAGCTCGTGTTCCCAGCGTGCCCAAAGATTGACAACGCAGCAGCGTATAGCACTGTCAATCAGTGTAGACCTTGACTTTTCCTTCAAAGAAGCGGTGTGCTAAGACTTGTTACTAGTAGCGATGCCCTTGTTACTAGTAGCTTCTTGCTACTAGTAGTACTGCCCTTGTTACTTACCTCTGTGTTTCAAAAAGAGTTATTTTTGGATTGGGAAGGGTTTTCTTTCCGAAGCGGTCGAGATCAGCACATGTTGGGATGGAACATCAATGGAACCAACGAAAATTAATCTATAACATGAATTCGCGGAACAAGCCATACACTGTGAATCCATATGCATGAAATACCCTTGTTCCTATAGGGATGGAACATCAATCCCCGTGGAACACCCATTCCCTCTAAAGTTATTACACCCACTCCCTCTAAAGTTGTTCGAATCCAGGACGAGACAGACTTTCACAAGAGTCACCATAGGCACTGTTTCGTGGGATTTTGGTTTGAGGGGTCCAGCCCCGGCGTTCTGTGAGCTTTCTACAGTCTCCATTTTGGATCAGATATTGGGGGCTGAAAATACAGTGTCCAATTCCATCCATGGGTGGTTTAAGGCGTTCTATGGCTCTCTCTCTCTCTCTCTCTCTCAAACCACCCCCTGCGGTGTTTTGTATAACTTCACATCTCCAGGCTTTGGTGTTTTCTCGAGTTGGAGTCCAAACCCGGACTTGGAATCGGAGGGAGCGTAAGTTGGCCCGCCTGACACGGTCTGGGCGGTGAAAGGATGCCTGGGCACAGGGTCGTCTCGCGATGTCCTCCTCTCCTCCGATGGTTTCTTCATGCCAGGCAGCCAGCCTCCTGAATTCGCTTTCCGAACGGCGGCTCCTGAGTTCCTGCGCTTGCTGCGCTTGGTGTGCGTGGCGCCGGGAGCGGTGCGTTGTGTGAAGGGTGGCTCTCAGGTGATCTGAGATTTTGCAGAGTTCTTGTTCATGCCCATGCTCGTTCTATCTCCACAGCTGAACGGAACGTGCAGTTGCCGGCGGAGAGTCTATCAGTCTATCAAACATACCATTCCATGCTCAAGAAATCAGCAACGATGTCACGAGAGTGTTGAGCAGTTCCGGCAACCCGTGGGCCCAACCCTCCACAGGCAATCGCGCAAGCGAAAAGCACGCCTAGGCCTTAGATGTAGTTGGACCCTTCGTTGGGCCAAAGCTGCCATAGTCCAAAAGCCTCCCAGAGGGCCAATGTGCCTGAAAAAATGGTGCGCACACTCCTAGGCGATCAAGCCCTGTTGCCATCGCCTGTTACCTTCATGTTTGGGGTCTAGCTGAGTCTAGCTGTTTGGTTTTGGAACCACTGGTTACCTCCTTGTTTTTCCTGCCTCCCATTTGTATCCAGCGGTAGGAAGCCCTACTTGGTTGTGAAACGAATCCGCTGGGACGAATCCAACTGCTGCGGGGTTTGGTCCAATCCGTTGTCTAAATGTTCAGAAGAAGGCGGAACAGTAAGCTGACGAGTGAGCGAACTGTAAGACAAGAAGTAAGACAAAGGAAGAGAACTGGTTAATTTGCCTGGTAAGACAAAGGTTCAAAATAAGTGTCACTGGAAGAAGGCAAGCTGTCTTCAGCTAGTTAAGATGTTATGACTTTCTATGAAGAACCCAGTGACATCCGTCGCAGCGGTTCAGACCGGTTCAGAGGACTTGGTCCTGCTGCTTTTGGATCGAAGGCCTGGATTGAAGGCCTCCCAAGATGCAGACCTCATAGCTGCCATTTGTGAGGTTTCCATTGGGATCCCCTCCAGTGCCATTGGGATTGGAACCAGGACTGGCCGAAGACGTTTGCGCACGGACACTGAAGGGGAACTTCCAGCTGAATTGAAAGCTGACAAACTCCAATTCCATGTTAGCCATGCCAAAAAAGTACACAATAGCACTTCCAACACCTTTGATACGGAAAAACGAGGACCTTTGGAGCACTTCCAACACCCCGGAAGGTCTCCAACCTTCCACTCTTCCGCTCGCCGTCCTAATTTCCTGAGTGCAAACACCATGTCTCGACGCTGAGTTGGCACGGCGCGATGCTGTGCCGGCCAGGCCGGTCACGGGCCGTTCGTTTCTTCCGGGACACCGAGCAATCACCCGTTTCGTCCGCCGGCCGGCTGAGTAGCTGCGGACTGAGTAGCATGTAGAATGTAGACTGAAGAGTTTGGCTCTCCTCATATGGAGAGCCAAAACACAATCCATTGGAAATGAGGGGGGCTGTGAATGAAGAGCCTACATGAAAAGAAGGATTGTGGTGAACCGAATCTTCGTTGGAAGAGAGCAGCCTGTAGTGAGTCTGGTGTAGGCCGTTTATGGCAGTCATGAGCCAATGTAGGATTCAAGAGCTCACTGCAAGCTCTTCAGCATCACATGCTTGATCAGTGCTTGGAGGTGCTCAGGATGGAACATGAAACCACGGCCCCTGTAGCCAACCAGGCCAACCATGACCTTACCCCAACGTTTCGAGCATTTCAGGAACCTCTTAGTAGTTTTTTTCGTGTCCCCAGTTCTAGTTCATAAAGGTAACTCCAGAAAGTTCAACCTATGATAGAATAATTCTTAGTCCCATTGACAACATCTCCCTGTACTGTACCTGTTGACGGGATCCAGGTCCCAGAAGGTCCCAAAGATGTTGAAGACCAGACCATCAGAGTTCATTCAGTGGCTGTGTCTTTTTCATCCAATGAAATCTGTCCAGTTCCAATCTGTCCAACTCACTTGCCTTCCAGCTGGTTTAGACCAGGGGGTGGTAAACTCGATGGTCCAGTGCTCCAGGGAGGGGTAGTTCATGCCCTGCTTACAGGGATGTTTGGAAACATTTAGAAGCCAAACGAATGCTTGAAATGGACGACATGATCACTACATATCAACCTATATCAACCCCATCATTGATCAGCTAGCCACACATTTGGCTATCCTGTGATTGTTTCCACCTGATGATTGGACTGAACGGTTTCACTTACAGAGCCAAGTCATCAGGGCCGAAGCGCTTCGCCAGGCCGACATCTTCTGACCTGGAGGCCCTTGTCCTTGGCCTTTGCGCGCTGGGAGGCCACTTGGTGCGCATAACATTGACTTCTTTGATGTGGAACATGTGGAACACAGAAGTATCAACGAATATCAGCATATGCCGTAAAAAAACATGAGATAAACTTCCCCCGCATTCAGAGTAGAAGCACCGCGTGTGACAGACGTTGAAACATGTAGAAACCAGTCCTTGGAAAAAAGGAGGTTGACTGGCGCTTCAAGGCTTCCTGTGGCACTCCAACACATCGGATGTGCCCTAGTAGTTAGTATGTCTCGGAGGACGCCTCGCTCAGGGACCGGGACTGTGTCTCTAAGAGGATCACCGGCAAACAGCATCATCCACAGTACTGGGCACCATCCATCACCACTCCTTTTCTGGGGCAATGATCACCTTCGAAGAAGGCTCCCAAGGAGAACAACTCTTCCACATGACTCAAAAACACAAGTCGACCCCTGGAACCCTCCGAATCCCCCAAAGGTTTCAGACAGATTGTCCGTGTTTGTGGCTTTGAAGGGCTTATAGTTTTGAACCAACTAAGCTCCACCGTTGAGCTTTGACCCTGGGCTTCGTCGATCGAGGCGAGACTTTTCTCCGAGCCCGGTGCAGCACCAAGTGCAGGCAGCGCTGAGTTGAGCGAACAGATGCGGCCGGGCGAGAGCGGGGGGCAGTGAACGGTTCGGTTAACGGGTGTTTCGTGTGAAGCTGGTGTTTGTACCTTTGCGTGGGGTTTGGATATGGTTTGGATGTACAATGTATATCAATGTATAAATAGTCTATATATCAATGTATTTCAATCTAAGATTAATCGGCTTTGGTATGCCAAAGCCAGAACAGAAACGCAGCTTGTTAACGGTCGTCAGCGGCATGTTCGGTCCGAAAAGGGATGTACGGTCCAGTTGCCGGTCGAACAGGCGACACCGAGGAGAACACCACGGAGTCCTCCTTGGTCACCAAGGGCGCGCGTGTGTATCGCCGAACTCGGGCGACTCGGAAGCGGAAGAGGACGGGGAGATGGTGGAGAATGCTTGGAAATCCAAGGTGTTTCCACCTCCAAAGCACGGATGGTGTCCACCTGTGGAAGCCGTTGAACATTTAAACTGGTCCATGCAGGTCGTAAGTTTGGTTCTATCTAGAGTTGGAGGCCTCAAAACTGAAGACTGGTGTTCTTTAATAGGAGGCTTTTCAACATGCCAAAGCCAAAACAGCGACATCGGTCTTCAAGAAATGAGCGCACTTGGCCAAAACTTGGTATAGAAAGAATCCCTTCCTCCTGGAGCACACCAGCACACCTCTGCCAACTCATTCATTGGCTTCGGATGCGGAGAGCGTGCGGAGAACGGTGGGTCTTGGCCGTTCCGGAACACACGGGAGACCGACGGATCTCGATGGATCCCAAACGGGAGACCGACGTCACCAAAGTCTTTGGTGACCACAGACACCAGAAAAAGCACAGGGCAGACTGAGTGAGGTTTCTGCGGAAGAATGGCCGCGAGTGATAGTCTATATACACAGTGAATGGCTCGTAGGTACTTGAAGCTTTCAGATTGACACAGCTCGCCAATAACCTTTGGAGTGTTTCATCAAAGGCATCACAGACAAAAGGTCCATTGGCTCAAGCTGAAGCTCGACCACACGAATTTGTTCATTGCCTCGCATCCATATTGTTTATTGCCTCAACGTCCCTTCCCATCCCTTCCATGTGCAGCATCGGTGATAGAGATGCCCCGGCATGAAACCAAGCCTTCAGGGGCCAAATGAATGCAGTCATATATGCGATTGTCACTGTTGCAATATCACCAGGTAGGAAGCCATCTTCGCAACCGAAACATCAACAACAAGGCATCCACAAAGGATGCGCAGATGTTCAGACCAAGAAAGCTGCCCCTCCCTGGATGGTTGAAATCCTCACTGGTCACCATCCTAGAACTCCAACCACATTCTCAGGAGGTAGTTAGACCCCCCCAAACCTACCCCAACCACCGAACCTCAGGAGGTGGTTGAAGCCCAAATGGCATTTTGGCTTCGAAGCCCAGCGCCACCCAGCCTGGGCGGAGTGGACCCAGCTCCCCCCTTTCGACCCCTTGAATTCGAGTCGTTTCCAGGCGATGCGACCCGGAACAACGCGCATGACCTCTTGGGGACCTGAAGTGAACCAAAAACCATTCCAGACACGACCTGTCTGGGACTGCCATAGGACTGCCGAGAAACGGCCAGGGGAGGTTGACTGGGGAACAATGGGGCAGCATATATGGCAGTCCCATGGAGTGTCTGGGATTGTTTTTGGTTCTGCTTCGCTGCAGCGATCTGCAGCGAACTGCCTGGAGGCCATTGATTACAGTAATGTATATCACTGTCTCAGTGAATGGAGATAGCGTGACTGGGCATTGCATGTGCAAGTCATGAAGGCGTGAAGCGACCAAACCACTGAGGTGTCGTTGAAAAGACTAGTTTGATGCTCCACCAAAACCTCCAACTCCAGCCACTGGGTTTTGTGGTTTGCTTAGATCTCCCTAGTCTCCCTTGACTGTGAACCTACGAACCACCTCTGGACACATCCTCGAGCCAAAGGAGCTCCTTAATAAACCCTCCCAAAGGAATCATCATGGAAGTGGATGGCACCACCTGCTTGGTATTCGGAAAAATTTGGTCTTCCTTTCGGGGCCATGCCATCCACGCAACCATGATTCCAGGACCGCCGGGAGTCCGGGAGTGTAACTGTCCGACAAATTACTGAGCCTTCGGTCAACCGCCTGTCAGGCACCAAAGGGATCAAAAGGGGCTCAATGTTAATGAATTATTTGTTTCTCAATACACCTCCATCCACGGGGACTTGCAGACTTCTCCCGTCCCATCTTCTCCGTGACCCGTGCGGAGTCCGGCACGACTGCCTTCCTCCCAGGCGGAGCATTGGCGCCGCTTTGAGTGGGGTATTGGCAGCCGGTGGCTTGGTGGCAACGGGAAAAGACCAAAGACAAGACAAGACGTCTGGAAGACAACCCCATAGTTTCCCTCATCATCAGAACTATGTATCAGAATTCTATAAAATGTCTTGTTTTGGCGGTCACCCAGACCCCAGATAGAATCGAACATCTACACAGTAGGCCGGGGAATGCATCGGTTTTTGCCCCGACCTATGATCCATTGAAGGACAGTCCAGTCTCAGTGACCCATGATCCATCGCTTCAAACACTGAGAATAAAATCCCACAAGAGCCGCTAGTTAGGGTATGTTGGGAAGATGTGCGTACCCATACTCGATCGTGCGAATTCATCCTCCCAAAATGGATGGAAATGGGAAAACGCACTGCATGCAGTCGTTTGAATTTCGGCAGAGAGAACTCTGGGAAGTTTTGCAGCAGGGATTGGCAAGGCGCTCCTAGAAAGCAAGAGTTTGGTCTGAGCAGAGCCTGAGCTCTTCAGGCAGTTCTCCGATAGTTTGGAGAGGACCTGACTGCATGTTCAGCCCTAATTGTATGAGACTCTCAGTCTAAGATCTTCAGATAAATAGACACCCGGCCCATTCAGCTCCTTGAACCCTGCCGTTTCCCGAGGTTTCGGATGCTGGGCAAGAATCGCTTCATGCCGGTGCACGCGCCGCACCCCATGAATTCGGTGGTGCGTGACGACTACTACGACAGCGACAACCCAAGCATTGCTGCTCGAAGGACATGGCAGCTGCGAGAGGGGCGAGCTATGGCTAGCTTGTATCATCTTGAACTGACTAAGAGTGCTTTCTTCGAGGGGCAGGTACAAAAGGACTGTGGAAAGTGATGGAGTTAATGAAGGGCATCTTCCTGATCCTTCTTTGAGAGGCTCTATAAATGGCTTTCTTCTTGCATGAACATTAGAGCTGCCCTTGTAGAAGAGGTTCTCATTTCACCTATCCGGCCAGAACAGGCACTGTTTAACTCAAGACTCAAGACGGAAAGCTCTCCTCAGAATGGCACTGACCGAAAGGAGGAACATTACGTTCCTTTTTTGTCAAACTGACAAACTGATTACAGTGGTTTCAGAGATTAGATGGCACAGACCGAAACCGATGTCCGTTCATATAAACCACCGGACATCGGTTTCGGTCTGTGCCAGACAGGTCCTCTCAATCAACTGTTTATATAAATAGGGCCTGAGAGGAGTGATGAACATCCCGTGACATGTCTTTTTACGGCATGACCGACACATATTGTTACCTACTTACTATTTCACAGGATGACCGTGACTCATGCGGCCTAAGCCTCGTTTCCACTGAAATCGAAATAATTCAAACATTTGTAAAACACTCATTGAACAATAAGATGTTGCAAGTTGTAGGTATATGAGAACGCTATGGAGCCCACCCAGAACGATCATATCAAATCAAATGATGTTTCTTTACACAAAGAGAACACGAACTGCAAACTTCATGGCGTTCTTCGTTGTTCGCTGGTCACAGATTGTATATGTGTTTGCACCAAGCAGATCTTTGTGCCAAGCAGATAAGGAGCCCAAGGACTCTCCCCGCCCTGCTAACGCCGTTCACGCCGTTCACGCCGAAGGTGTGGAATGAGCTTCGTGAGGGCTGGGAGGTGTTTTGGTACGACCCTTGGGCCGCAGAGAGTGTTTGGGGTTATCGCGGAGTTTGGCACAGGAAACAAGTCCTGGACAACCTGCGTGCGCACCATGTTCATCCTGGTGGTTGATCAGCTGAATGTACCTTGCCACAAAGATCACATTTGGACTCTGCACCGTTTTCGTCCGGTTTCATAAGGGATTTACTGCCAAACCACGACATAAAGGTCAAACTGTCAAACATGGTTAAACCGGCTTCGGATCTATGTCTATGGTCATGCATAGAGGATCCAATATCCTGAATATATAGCATGTTGACGGAATATCTATGACATGACTGATGACTATGGCATCAAATCGAGTCAAAGAGCGAGAGTGATTGGGATGATGACTAGACAGGATGACTTGGCATGTCCCATATGCTCTCTACAGGACAAAGAAATACAGTAAGTAAGCATCCCAGAACCAACTTGTTCAGACCAACCTGAAACTGTCAGGCGATGGTCACGTCTTCCTGTCAGAACATGCGCCACGAAACATCCCCGGGCGCATGGGACAGTGCGACGGAGGCTGAAGTCTTACACACTTGGAATATTGTATATATATATATATATTAATTGGTTTTAGATGGTTTGAGTGGGACATAGAGGCTTCCCAAGCGGTCAGCTGGTCGTTCCACCAAGTGACAGCGACTGAGGAGAATCAGAAGCTCACAGCGAGGCCATTCCCGGTGAAGAAGTACGGCTTAGAGCGAGCCAAAGTCGAAGTCCTTCGGCCAAAAGAAGCCGGGGCCAGGTACAAGGAAAATGAGAGGCAGGAGTAGATCCTTCAGGCAGCCCTAACCGATGCGCAACTCACAGACAAAGCGCACAGTTGGTAGCTAAGCAGGAGTGTGGCGGCAGTTTACCCTTCGTAGATCTTTCATGATCCTTCCAAAGTTCACCAAGATGCAGACTGGCTGACGAGCCAATCTGGAAGAACAGACCCGAAAGAGATGGCCAGGCAAAGTACCAAACTCGGCCTTTTTTGCGATGTGGGGATGACTTATTATGGGTGTGTATCACAATAGGGAAACCTTCCGAAGACCCCCTGGAAGAGGGAAAATAGACCAAAACCCATTGATGTCAGTCGCACGCTCCCTCAAGCCAGCCCCTTTCCGTGTATTACGTGGAAAATCGATCAAAGCCCATTGGTTGGGGGACTCCCTATTGAAAGACACACCCTCTACATCTTCTCCGTGCCCAGAAGTCCGTCTCCGTTCCCAAAAAGTCTGTAGAAGCTCTACAAACAGAGGGATGTTCAGATCAGAAGCTCTACACCGCCCACGTCTGATGTGTTTGCATTCAGGTCTTTCGGTCGTCCGGGCGGTGGCCTGAGGCCTTCCAATTCTTCCAAGAGCTGGAAGAAGCAGGGCGACTAGGTGCGGAGTCCCCAGGGATTTCTTGGGCCCAGGGTTTGGCTCCATCCTCCAAACAGGCTCCAGTAGCAACGTCTCCTTGCAAGCAAATTGGAAGACCTTATTCTAGCAGTGATCTAGTGGGCAAAGGGCTTTTAAGGGGTCCCAAAAAGTGCTCAAGAAGTCCTTCAGTCACTCAAGATCTGGAGCTCTTGCTGTCGCCCGGGTCGACAAGAGGTTGGGTGGGTTTGGTGAAGAAGGGTGGGTTGAAGTGGGTTCGTGCAACGAAGATGCTCCCCAGCCGATAAGAGGTAAGCTATGGTAAGCCTGGTAAGCCTTCAATACGTGACGGTGTGTCAGTGTTCCTGACAATTGAAGAAGATCATCTTTGAATCTGTTGACAGTCTGCACCTCCCCACTCGTGTGGCAGATAGAATGTTGTATTTCATTTCTTCGACGTTTCACTCAACCGGTCAACACTTGGTCACCTTCTCCCGTCAGAGTCGACGTCACGACTAGCCGCAGCGGTCACTCGAGAGGGTCCGAATCGGTCGGCCCGAGAAGGTGGATCGAAGGATCAGAGGGCGCATGAGAAATGAATGAGGCAATGAGAAAGTCATGATGTCCCAGGGCTCTAGCCTGGTCAAATCAACTTGGAAGGGTGTCTAACATGCTCTGACTATTTATAGCTACTCTATGATGAACCGCTATTCCAGTGGTTCTGTGACCAACATCAATGAACCCCTTGCGTTCGACCATGGTGGAGGCGTTGGCGTGTCACTCTCCGATGGTTCGCACCTCTCGTTGTGAACTCCAAGGCCAACGCCCTAAGATTGAAGCGCCACAGGAGGGAGCCGCTTGGTCAGCAGGCCAGGAGAAGGTCAGACATGGCAAGACCAAAGATCACGACATATCACGACTAGTGGCAGGGGTTGAGTTAGTCCTCGTCAATTGTCTTGCGCATGTTCCAAACTTTGTTCACTGTGAAGAAAAAGTCACAAGGATTCTATCGGGTGAGATGATGGTCCACGAGTCAACCACTGTTGAAGAAGCATCAAGCATGAAGCGTCACAAGCATGAGACTCCTTGACAAAGCAAAGGAACAACGATGTCTAAGCTTTGCAGGTTCGAACCATTCATCCGACCAAGAAGACATCAAAACACCGCCCACGTCACTTGCTTCACCAGTTGGGACCTGTGTCAGTGGACTCCGCCCTGGAGGGCGTTTGTGCGCCTGGAAGGGCAACATAGGGAACTTCAGTGGGGAACTTCTTCATTCTAGAAGGGAAGATGATGTGTGTAAAGCAAGACGCAAAAAAAGTCAAGAAATACGCTATTATACAGTCACTCCTCACATGGAAATGTTGCTAGAGCCTACCAAGCAGAACTTGCTTGTGTCACTGCACTAGAACGACACCACAACACCATGTTTACATAAAACACTGCAAAACGAACATAGCGACAGTCGTGGTATATCATAGCGACAGTCGTGGTGTTGTTTTTTTCGCGACGAGAACCTCAACGGATCGGAAGCGACAGTCGTGGTGTGCACAATGCGTTGGTCTTTCTTTCTCGGGTGGTTTGTGAAAGTTGTGGTTGCTCGGTCTCAACTTGAATGATACGAGCTGCAGTTTGTTTCTTTTTCCGCAGCTGTGCGTGGCGATTTTGAAAGCCTCGAGGATACTGCACTCAAACAATTGAACTGTGGGCTTGTGCCTGGAGCCTTGAACCTATTCTGGCTGCTCTAGATTCTAGATGAAGCAAATGCCTCTTGTTCCCACGGTTGGGGATAAAACTTATTTGATGTTCGCCTGTTGGAAATCGAGGGTTGCCTTTCTTAGATCCATTATGATACATCCCTTACAGCCATATCCTCCGGGATGGCTTGGGAAACGAAAGACTTGTTCGTGGGGATTCCAGATCCATGTTTGCAGAGACAGTGACCCAGCTTCTTGCGCCTTGTCATGTTTGATTTGTGGCTCCCTAAACCTGGTGACCGCCGCACATGATCGGACATGTACCTCCCGGTAACGCAGTAAAGCTTAGGAGCTTAGAATATCAAATGTGTCCGATTGAATTGCATCGAACAACACTCATAAACCTTGATAAACCTTGGATAAGCCATGCACCCTCAAAAAGATAGCTTTTCGGAGCCTGTCGTTGTTACTCGCAGATCAACCAACTTTTCACGTCCTACTCCTCCAACACAACTAGAGGACTCCCCATTGCGCTGAGGTTTTCTTTGATCAACGCATGCAATGCTGGGCAGGGCGGCTCATTGCTGGAGAGTTGGTTTGAGCTATCGGAAAACACCAAGGAGAGGAGCAGAAAAACATGGAACATCTATGAACATCTGAAGAATGGAGCTTCAGAAGGGGCTTTGGACAGGAAAGAACGCCTTCAACAGGCTCCCTTCCAGGTTTTCTTGTCCTTTTATTGCGGCCATCGCTATCGGCTCTCCATCGCCCGTTTCAACGGAACGAAGGCACCGAACGAGAGTTTCCCGAGGTGAGCCTCTTCTGGCGGGACGGGCGGCCACAAAGCCGCTGCTTCTCTGCCACGAAGTATGGCTTCGAGGGATCCAAGATGTTGGCGATGGCCAAGCAGCACCTCGGACGGGCGATGGTTTGTGTATGAAGAGATGGAGAAGGAGATTCGCTGGGAGAAGGTGTTTGGTTTCCTCAGGGATTCGGAGATTCAGTGGAATCTGGATCGTTTGGGTGATTTTTCGGATTCCGTTTTGGAGCGAAGCATCCCGTTTGTGGCGGAAGCGCTGCATGTGATGTGGTCAAGCTTTTTTGAAGATGTAGAAGGTTTTTGGCGGTGATGGTGATGGCAAAAACAAACTTGATGGGTTTTGGCGGCAGAAAGGATTGTGTGCCTAGAGGCTGTTTAGAATGTGAATGACTTTAAGATGCGTTCATTGCGACTGGTACATGGAGGAACTACCGACACACTTCAAGGTTCCCCATAGTTTCAAGATGTTTAAAGCTCGTAAAGCTGCTGTATAACGAATCAAGATTGATTCCAAGATCAGTCTGGGACCTTTCAGCTGGGATTGGTCTTGCCCTATTCAGTTTTTCTGCTCCAAGTGCAGCTAATATGGGAGCTTGTGCAGTGGATCCACTTCTAGCATCATTTTCCTTCGACCCCTGCTTCATCACACCCCGCATAGGGTTCCCCAGCTCCTTCAGCTTTTGACTTAGGCGTGACCCCGTGAACGGCGTCTTGGCAGTGCAGGGTGGAGCAGGAACCCCGATCATCCTGAAGGACCTGGAGCCGGTAAGCATTGACTGGAGCTTGAATTCCAGATGAACATGGCATGATGAACATGCACATGGTCGTTCGAAATTCCTCACATATCCTGCCAGATCTGTGTGAGGGATTTAAGATTGATTCGGAGCAGGAAAGACGCCATTCACCCAAGTGAGCCCATCACCCCCGCTGAGAGCCCTTGCCAGGAGAAGGGGAAGCCATCCTACGTGAACAGGAGCGGAAGCTTGGGGGGAGCGGAAGCTTGGGAAATGGCAAGATGGCCGAACCCTTTGCCTGCCCCAGCTTGCGAAGATGGCGAAGTCTAGGCTACGGTACTGCTACCACACCCACATCACAAACGGGGTACCATCAAGAGGGGTGTTGGCCGTGGAAACAGAGATGGTGGGCCCAGATGGACTGTTTCCTCTCACGTCGACGTCCTGCTTTTTCGGGGGCACAGCCGATTCCAGCGCCTTGCACAGGGCCACAGGGGACCTGACTGGATAACATTGGCGACCAGTCATGTTGTCTCACATTTTGCAAATTGCCGAAAAGAGAGGCCTACCACTACTTGGTGAGTCCAATACAGTGCTCCGGTCAATGTGGTTTTCATCCATCTATGTTTTTGCTTTTTTGGGGGAGCAAGGACGCTACTAGGGGCTCCTGGCCGTACTACTAGGGGCAAGGACGCTACTAGGGGAATGATTGGATGTGATTGGGGCATTTGGAACGACATCCAACACGTCCGGAAGGATGAACAGCGGAATGAGAGGGCCCACTGGATTGAAATACAAATGACATGGAACGATCTCTTTGATGAAAAACATACTAATGAATATATATTGATAATGTTGTTTTAATTTTAGGTTTATATACACATTATATTTATATGTATTTAAGTAATTATATATATATATATTAATATTTATTATACATTAATAAAAATTAAAATCTATAGAATATATAATATGATATATTAATTACGTTGAAAAATATACATAGAAAGAATAATTTATATATGTGATGAATTTATTTTAATATGTTAATTGTGTTATAACGAAATATGTTAAATATGACGAAATGTTTTTATTGTTAATTATCTAAATTTTAGATATTTCGGATTGGATATTTCGATTTTATAGTTATCAATTTTGAATATTAATTGCGAATTCCGATTGGTAATAATTAAATTGTATTTGATGATGTGTATTCGTTATATTCTATTTATGAATTCGATTTGATGGAGAGAATTATGAATTTTTATTGATAATATATAGTTATTTATTAATTATTAATAT